TCAGGTCTAATTAATATTTAATAATAAGGATAATAACCTTTATTACCCGTGAAAAATTAGATTTACAATTGCGCATAAAAAATATACAAAAATACATAATTAGTTCAGCCAATTAGTACGATGTCACACAAGATACATCTATTTATCTTAATTATGGCAAGTGTAATTGAAAACAGAAATTCGCATTTTGTTCAACGGTTTAATTGCCAAAGGGATAAAGAGTTCTTGTGTCTATTTGCTGTTGTGATCTTTTTTAAAAACAGAATTGATGATTCAGTACTTCAGGTTACAAATATTTTCAAGGTTTTTTATGACAGCTTCCTCCACAGGACTCAAGTTTGACCACCAGTGTTGGAAATACCACACAACAAATACCGACAACCAAAGGTAAGTAATCAGCTACATCTTTATGTATACATTTTCTATTTATAAATTTTTGCGCTTCAGATTATCGTTCGACGGACACGATGGTCCCGGGTTCCAATCCTACCCGCACCCATCCCCCCGCATTCACGTGGAAGGTTAGGGCCAGAGTGTAATTATCTTTAAATTTGAAGGAACTTATAAAACATGTAAAAGAAACTGACCAATAAAATTATGTCATTGGTGAATACTTTATCATATGTTTAAACATTCGATGTAGTGTGCATACTAATGCACATGGCTTCAGATATTGGATTTTTATTGTAATAGAAATGGAAAGACTGATAACAGAGGCGTAGTGAACAAAACGTGCGCCCGGGGCAAGGTACTTTATTTGCGCCCCCTCCCCCCATTTTCTATGAACATCATATAGAACTTTGGATGCGTCTGGCGCCCCTTTGATGGTGGCGCCTGTGTTATCGTGCCCCCTCACTACGCCTCTGGGCTATTAGAGGTGGGGTCATTTATAGAAAAAGCAGATATATATATAAAGTAATGCTCTTCTTTCACGTCTCTCTCTCTCTCTCTCACTCTCTCTCTTTCTCTCTCTATCCCTTTCTCTCTCCCTCTCTTTCTCTCTCCCCCCTCTCTCTTTCTCCACCCTCTCTCTCTCCCTCTCTCTCCCTCTCTCTCTTTCTCTCTCCCCCTCTCTCTCTTTCTCCACCCTCTCTCTCTCCCTCTCTCTTCTTCTCTCCCCCTCTCTCTCCCTCTCTCTCTCTTTCTCTCTCCCCCTCTCTCTCTTTCTCTCCCCCTCTCTCTCCTGTGGCGCCTGTGTTATCGTGCCCCCCTCACTACACCTCTGGGCTGATAGCTATTAGAGGTGGAATCATTTATAGAAAAAGCAGATATATATATAAAGTAATGCACTTCTTTCACGTCTCTCTCACTCTCTTTCTCCCTCTCTCTCTCTCTCACACTCTCTTTCTTTCTCTCTCTTTCTCTCTCCCACTCTCTCCCTCTCTCTCTCTTTCTCTCTCCCTCTCTCTCTCCCTTTCTCTCCCTCTCTCTTTCCCCCACTCTCTCCCTCTTTCTCTCTCTCCCCCTCTCTCTCTCTCCTTCTCTTTCCCTCTCTCTCTCCCTTTCTCTCCCTCTCTCTCTTTCTCTCTCCCCCTCTCTCTCTTTCACCACCCTCTCTATCCCCCTCTCTCTCTCCTTCTCTCTCCCTCTCTCTCTCCCTTTCACTCCCTCTCTCTCTCTTTCTCTCTCCCCCTCTCTCTCTTTCACCACCCTCTCTCTCTCCCCCTCTCTCTCCCTCTTTCTCTCTCTCCCCCCCTCTCTCTCTCCTTCTCTCTCCCTCTCTCTCTCCCTTTCTCTCCCTTTCTCTCTCTCCCTTTCTCTCCCTCTCTCCCTTTCTCTCCCTCTCTCCCTTTCTCTCCCTCTCTCTCTCCCTTTCTCTCACTCTCTCTCTTTCTTTCTCTCCCTCTCTCTCTCCCTTTCTCTCACTCTCTCTCTTTCTTTCTCTCCCTCTTTCCCTTTCTCTCACTCTCTCTCTCCCTTTCCCTCCCTCTCTCCCTTTCTCTCCCTCTCTCTCTCCCTTTCTCTCACTCTCTCTCTCCCTTTCTCTCCCTCTCTCTCCATTTCTCTCTCCCACTCTCTCTTTCTCTCTCTCTCCCTCTCTCTCTCTTTCTCTCTTCCTCTCTCTCTCCCCCTCTCTCTCTTTCTCTCTCCCCCCTCTCTCTTTCTCTCTCCCTCTTTCTCTCTCTCCCTCTTTCTCTCTCTCTCCCTCTCTCTCCCTTAGCTACTTGTCTCTAAGGTCAATGTTAGTCAACAATCACAAAGAGGAGTGGCTCAACCAATGGGCATCAGGAAACACAGGCAGAGCCATGTACAGAGAAATGACCATACCAAGCAAAGTGGACGGTATTAATTTCCTCCGACACAAAGTTAAATCTGCAATTTTCCAACTAAGAAAAGAACACACACCTTTAAATTACCACCTTAACAAAAGAAATTCCACACTCCTGCTCCTTCATAGATTTATAAAACTGAAAATTGTATACTCTTTGAATGCCCCGTGTTAATCCACTTAGGCAGACACTACTACCACTACTGCCCAACATCACCAACACTGTATGGCAGTGCTGAGCAACTGAAAAATAGAGCAAGCTATTTTTTTATCGGCCTAGTCTGCAAAAGAGTTTACAGCTCATGTAAAAATGAATGGTTAGAAGAGGAATTATAGATGAACTTATGTGCTTTTAATATTCAATTATTTAATTGTCCGAATGAAATTGTTATTGGCCTCCTTCAGTCGTAGAACGACTCTGGTTCATCTCAGAGCACACTTCCTCATGTGGCTGTGGAGCCCTATTTTGGAGAGACGCTCCCGTCCACAAATATCGCAGGTTGCTTTTGCTTCGGTGGTAGAGGAGCTGGCCTTTGTTCGTACTGTACGTTTTTCTTCCTGAGCTGAGACCCATATTCTTTCACTGTCCATAGCTTTCTTGATCACTGTCTCTCTCCATATAGTGCGATTTTTAAATAAAATCCAAATAAATAGTTTAAAATTCATTTTAAAACAAGTGGAATGACCCCACTTACTGTCCTCTATTGTTGCTAAAATCTCCAGTAACAGAAGTGCATTTATTTTTACCTCCCCTTAAATGTTTACTGCATAGCAGAGACACCTAACATCTTGAATTAATGTACAAGAAAATACTTAGTTGACGTCTTGTGGTGTTCGTACACTCGATACTGATCAAACGATATGGATAATCACTTAAAAGTTTTGGGGTTTGTTTCTTGTATTTTCTGTTGAAATTAATTGTCCATCAAAATGAATTTTTAGTTTCTGTGGGTTGATTTTAAATGATTTGTAGGTATTGATAAATTCAAATCAATTTCAATCATATTTTAGGCTAACATCTGTTCGACAGAATACTACGTGGTAGAGAGGTACTATGCGCAGAAAGCAATACAAAAATAAAAAGGGGGTTGGTTCCCATGTTTTATTGAAATAGGAAAGAATTGGGGGGGGGGGGGTTTCTGGTAAATAAATAAATATATATATATATTATATAACATACCTGGGAAGAAATGTAGACGGTGTTTAATGATAGCAGCATAGAAGGTAGTCAAACTAAACATTAAGTTGTTTTAATATTTCGAACTAGAGCCCCCTAAATTTGATGGTCCAGCCTGCTATGTCTGTGGTGACAACACCACTCAGAAGCAATGCACGTCAAAGACGTCACAGGACTCGCAGGTGTGTCCCGCAGGACGTCCGGCTTGTATGACAGATGTCTATCAAAACGGCGTCTTCAGGCGTATTTACAGACGGTGAGTACCAGGGCATGAGTTTCATTTAATGTAAAATAACACTTTATTATAACACTTTATTATAACACTTTATCTGACTAGATCTTTAAATGCACGTTCTGTTTCAGGTTTGTAAATAACATGTTTATGCATAGTCAAACATGTCTGAGCTTATTCGTTCTCCGTACAAATGAGAAGAGAATCTGATTTTAACTTTATTTATTTCTATACTGGAACTTATTCAAAGCTGGGTGGCTAGCAGGCCTGGTAATATGCGCTTTGGGGCAGTTATTAGACTGGTTCCGGGCTTGAACATCGCCCGTTCTGAAGGAATGTTAGAAACCTATAAGCTCACTCACCGTCGAAAGAGCATTTTTGTTGATAAACGCTCAGTGGTAAAGCGCTTGGATCCCAACCGAGTTGTCCCGGGTTCGAATCTTGGTGAAAACTGTTGTTTTTTTTAATTTTGGGCTTATCAGGACGCCTTCAATTCTAATGGGTACCTGACTTTAAACTGGGGACAGCAAAGCGATTAACCGTTGGGTCATAGAAACAGATGATCTTTTCGTCATCTGCCCTATAGATAGTTTACTTCATCAAATGTATCATTTGCCTAATCCAAATTGTAAAGTTTATCTAGTCTTATTTCTGTCCTTCTATGTAAAGTTTTGTCCTATATTTGTCCTACTGTGGTCATGTAGGAGTCTGGCCACTTGACCAGCTCAATGACCAACCGCCTTGTCCTTCCCTTATATCAGGTTGTGTAAACATTACGAAAATTCAAATTCCTTCTTCAATAGGATTCGAACCCGAAACTTCTTGTTTTGAAAGACACCCTTCACTTTTACCTATCCCTTAGTCTGTTGGACCGTTGGGGCACCATACAAGAACTGCCAACCGTCTTTTTCCATTCTTCTTTGTCCTTTGCTTTGGATAGAATTTCATTCACTGACAGGCAGTCCATTCTTTGATGTTGTCTTCCCATAGATTTTTCTGTGTTCCTCTTCTTATTCCTGGTACTGTTCTCTGAAGGAAGGTCTTTGCAAGCCCAGTGGACCTTGAAAGACAAGTGCTTTTCAAATCCGAAACCACGAGCTTGTGTGTATTGAAATAATTCTTGTTGATTTTGAATTTCAGGTGCGTTACTCAAGAAGAATGTCAGGCGTCGCCTAGCAAGTCCAACTCTCAATGCAAGGACGACAACTTCATGGATGTCAAGGCCATGGAGTGTCACTTCTGCTGTACCAGCCAGCTCTGCAACGACTACATCCGGCCGTCCAGAGAATTAGTTTCCTAGGTTATGTTTGCTGTCTACGACATGCGATTCAAACCCTCAAAGAAACTTCTGGTGGATTTGTTCAAAAGACAAGGGCTGAGCTTGTTATTCAAAAAACTGTCCCCACAGCTTTCAAAGAAATATATGGGCTTATTCTTCAGTAATACTTCCATACTTAGATTTTAAAAACAAGTATACATACAGCACAATAAGTGCACAAACATTTATTTTCTAAACATATCTACGCAAATATAATATAAGTTAGTTTGACGTCATGAACGACATTTCAACAGCAAATTATTTTCGATAACTCTCAATGTCGAAACTATAAAAATGTTCCACATGATTTTGACTTATCAGAAGTAAAAAAGAGGAAAAACCTAAAACAATACTTAAAAAAACAAGGCTTGTATTAAGTGTGCTTGTATCAATTAGTTTGGATCAGTCATGTAATTACATTTGTAATTGATGTAGACTAACAATAATAGCATTCATAAAAATACAATTTTAAAAAAGGGAACGACCTGAATTGTGAGCTAAAGCCTTCTCAGGCAAACGCGGTAGCCACTCTACTAGGTAATGTCTATGAACATGGAAGATTGTATAGTTGTCTATTGTGGAAGATTGTATAGTTGTCTATTGTGGAAGATTGTATAGTTGTCTATTGTGGAAGATTGTATAGTTGTCTATTGTGGAAGATTGTATAGTTGTCTATTGTGGAAGATTGTATAGTTGTCTATTGTGGAAGATTGTATAGTTGTCTATTGTGGAAGATTGTATAGTTGTCTATTGTGGAAGATTGTATAGTTGTCTATTGTGGAAGATTGTATAGTTGTCTATTGTGGAAGATTGTATAGTTGTCTATTGTGGAAGATTGTATAGTTGTCTATTGTGGAAGATTGTATAGTTGTCTATTGTGGAAGATTGTATAGTTGTCTATTGTGGAAGATTGTATAGTTGTCTATTGTGGAAGATTTTATAGTTGTCTATTGTGGAAGATTGTATAGTTATCTATTGTTTCTATTTCTATTTGTGTTCACTAAACCTTAGACGGCAGGTAACTTATTCAGCTTATAGCACCACTTCAGTAAAGTACTATTTCATTCCCTTGTTTGAGATACCAAATAATAATTATTTACCAATAGTTAATTAAATAATGAGTTTGATTTTTAAATTGATTCTTGTGTTGCCAGATAAAAGATATAATTGTGCGAAATTTCAGCTTGATCCGAGATTGGTTGTCGGAGAAATAACGTGTACAAACTTTTGGCCAGACACACAGAGTTGACATAAGCATTGTAAAAAGTTTACTCTCGATTCACCTCGGAACACAAAGCCAAGACAATAATCCAGAATTTTTTTTTTACTATAAAAGAAATTTGATGAAATAAAGATTAGAAAAAGAAGAATGACTATGTTTATAGACGTTTCATGGATTTTTAAAAATCTTATAAGTTACAGACGTGCCTTCAAACGATAATGAAGTCATACGCGTGTTAATCTGCACGTGCAGAGCTTGAAACTGCTTATGCATTGGTTTCCCTGAATGATCCTTACAGCGCCCATTCCATGCTCTGACGGCAGTTTGGAAGAAAGAACACTTCCTTTAAGTCAGTCTTAGCATATGGAAAACGAATTATGTGTTTTCTTTTGTGTGTCTTTCTGAGTATTTTATTAGCGGCCCCCGAAAAGGGAATAGACGCTATTAGTTTTGTGTGGTCTGTCTGTCCGTCCGTCCAGTTTAGATCTCGTTTAGATCTCGTAAACTAGAAAAGATAGTGAAAATCCGACATCATAATATTTAAGACTATTCAAAGTTCTGATGCAACGGCTTCTTTTTTCTTTTCTGAAAGCGAAAAATTTCGTTTTAAAATCAACTAATAAGCAGTTGTTTTTTTCATAAAAATACACCATTTTTACAACTATGAAAAAGAGATTGACCCTTTACAAAAAAAAAATAGATCAATTGGATTATTAATTTATGACATCAGTTACGTGAGGTTGACATCTAACATCACCATCACTTTCACCTATTTCTTGGTCTGCTGGACCGTTGGGGCACCACACATGATCTGTCAACCATCTTTCTCCATTCTTCTCTGTCATTTGCCTTTAATAGAATTTCATTCTGCTATTCTTTCTGAAAATATTGAAACCTGCATTTTTACCTGCCTGTGGGGACCACTTCGGGGGCCGATTTTGAGTTTGCGTTTCCACTGTCTTTGTCACCTTGTTAGGTTTTGTTTTTGCCTTTGTCAAGTATGGTTCAGTGTTTTATGTATTATTGCTATTTTACTTTTTTAGTACTCTGTCCTGAAGTTTTACTAATGGCGTGACTGTAGTCAAATGTGAATATTCATTTATGATAAATCTCACGGCTTTATTTTGTGTCTGTCTAGTCTCTTTATGTTTTCTTGATCCCAAAAACAGGATCTATATACAAGTACATGTATTGGTTGAACTAAGGTTAAATAGCATTTTAGTTGTTTTTTTCTGTTTTAGTTTTTTTTAATGGTATAATACTATATTTGATAACGTAAATATTTTAGCACTATAGGGATTTCACGATAATTATTATAACACCTAAGTATTGTGAGTTTCCACAGAACCAGAAAGATTACAATATAAATTTATCTTATATTTTGAATCTTTAAAAATGGGATAATATGAATAAATATATAGTAACCATTTTATAATTTATATTGAATATATTTGTAAAAATGGCTTTGCATTTTCGGATGGTAATGTAGAAAGTCAAGTAAAAAAAAATTAAATATAATGTTAACAATTGTTGATTACTGTTGTCATTGAAACCCGCTGGTCGCCCACTTTTACGTTAAGCAGATGTATGCAAACGCGACATGAAGCTCTTCAAAATCGACACTGGCAGCTGGGAAGAGGTGGCGCTGGACAGATCCACATGGTAAGAGAGCATAAAGGAAGGGTCACGGATTGCAGATGTCATACACAACAGAAGCAGAAAGAAGGGTGAAAAGGCAACGGCGCCTGGTGATTATATATGCCCAACCTGACAGCTAAGGATTGGCCTCTTTAGTCACACAAGAAGTTGCAAAGGGAAAAGATCGTCTCTCGAGACGTAAAATGCCCAAAAAAATGTTATAATTCTTATATATTTTCATTTCATATCAAAGGTTCTCACCGTTTTATTAAGCCAACACTCCCATCGACACATTGACAGATAAGTGTTTGTATCGGCTTTTCTGATGAGTAGGTCTTCATTTGTGTATATTAATTATTATATGTCCTATCGTGCCATTGTCTTTGGAGCATCTTTAGTAACTTATTTTCTTTATAGAAGGCTGGGAAAATATAAAAAATGTCTTAAAAACAATGATGAACATGAAACTGTTACGAAGCAAGAAATGTTTTAGTGGCACCATTAGAAAAAAACAAAACACTATTGTTTTGTGTTCTGTCTGTCCATCCGTCCGTCTGTCATGTTTAGGCCTTCAACACCGGTTGTTTTTTTTTATCGCCTGATTTGTGCTAGTTTTGGTCTTCTGAAAAAGATTCCTTTGTTGTTGTTTTTTTTTATTCAGTATGCAGACTGCTTTTTATACACATGTACCATTTTCAAAACAAAAGTTTGAAATGTAACATAGCTCTGCTCGCCAACCATATTATTTGAATATTGATTACCACATGTCGATTTTACATTATTACATTTCAAAATAATTTAAATTAACATTTTGAGCGCAACATAAAATGTAGAGGTGATTCTTGCTGACGGTGAAAGCTACTTTCGAAAATCGCAATTAGATTACTACGACGTAACGAGAATACATAATCAAGGAGTATTTGTTTCCGATATTGACATCTATTGATTAGATGATGCAAAGCTCATCTTTTTATAATACCTTATGCTAACGAGGGTGCTAGTCAGATATTAGAGGAGTGAAAATTGTATACAGGTAAAAACCAAAAGTCAGGTGACACAAAGGCAGACCCCCAATGCGATGGATTGATGATGTGGAAGTATATCTGCAACAGCTTGGGGGTTAGGGCGTGGAGACGAAAGGCCCGGGAGAGATCTGAATGGAAGAATGTGTTGAAGCAGGCCAGAGACTTCCATGGGCTGTAGCGCCACTGGGATGGAGGGATGGATAACGAGGGTGTATCATGGCCAATAAAACGATCCACCGCCTTTACTTTCTTCAACTGAAGCCAGGCTGTGTGAGTACTAAAAATCACTAAATTAAGAAATCCCTTATTTTTCAACGTGACTCGAGTCTGAGACAATCGGTTCTGAAGCCAAGCGCTTTACTACTTAGTTACCACTTAGCCAACAAGCCCCTAATGAAATACATTTATTATCTCTATTTTATTTCCCCAAATAAAATTTAATAATCTTCTACCTTTAATAATCTTCTGCCACAAATGTGAGTTTTAAATTAATGCAGAAAATAAATTAGACTTTGAAGAAGAAAAACAACCTTTTAAGTTTTGCATTTTGTAATTAATTTCATCAGTGCCCAAATGTTCATTGTCTCCAAGCTTTTAACGACATCCTGGAATAGTCTAACGCATTCAAAATGAACTTTGGTTTTAAACTAATCTAAATAAACACCAACGAAAGAGAGCCAGACTGGCATATTCTGAACTAAACAAGTAATTGTAGAGATAAAAATAAACTGTCCAGGTAATCGAGAACTTTGGAGACTGGAAAACAGTTACCATTGAACTTTTTAACAATTTTTATTCAATGCTCCATGGATTACATATATTATAATTGTAAAGCTACTTATTTTTTGGAATGACATGACAAAATTTAATCATGAAACCCTTCAAATATATCCATTTTATTTAATAGTTAAGGTTCATTAAAAGATAAATTCTAGAGCAGGTTGAATGCAAAGTTCTTTTTCATAAATACCCATTGAAAAGTATCTACCTACATTGGTACTGTTATGCATGGACTTAAGTTGATGACAAAGATAATTATATAATAAATCTATGTAACTCTGTAATTGTTTATCAGGGTTATGATATGTGCCATTTTAGAACATATAAGTTGATAACAGGAGAGAGAGAGAAAGCGATAGAGAGAGATAGATGAGAGGGGACGTAACTGGCAAAGACAATACATAACAAAGAAAATAAAAGAGGAAAGGGAGACTCTCAACTTCAACTATTGAGACAGAAATGACGTCATTAACTTGTCAACAATAGGAAAGTGCATTGATCGCAAACACGATAGGAAGGGAAAAACTAAAGGAATATAAGCCTTGTTCATTTGATTTCATTTGATTGTATTTTGTGTGCGTTTTTATAGGAATGTCCCCTATCTGGATACTAGTCGTCCCAGCATGCAAGTTGCTACTGTGGCTTTCCCGTTGTTGTTTTTTCGGATGACATTTAAATTTGCAAATATGATTTCAGCACCTGTCAT